CCACCGCCACCGCCACCGCCACCGCCACCGCCACTGCCACTGCCACTGCCACTGCCACTGCCACTGCCTGCTGCTGCTGCTGCTGCTGTTACTACTACTACTACTACTACTACTACTACTGCTGCCACTGCTACTACTACGACGACTACTGACTACTACTCCTGCTCACTACTACTAGTAATCCGTACTGGAATCCGCAGCATCTCAATAATCATCTGCCTCCCTTAAAGCAGCATGGTACCATCTGCTTGTCGTCCTGGGTCAGCAAGTACGAATCTGGCTCCACGAACATTCCCTGCACAAAATGCGCAGATGCACGAGGCCCTAGTGGTGCTACAAGACTGCCAAATGCATCGTCGCAGTGATAGTGGTCGTGATGGCGGTTGTTATGACAATCAGACGATGATGCTGTTGATGATCACCACAATTCCACTTTTCTCGCTAGAAGCATCCTCACCACATCATGTACTGATCCTTGTTTAATGACGATCATGGCTGGCTCAATCAGTACTATCTAGTAATGTAGCATCAATGCTGCTCTTGATGCTCCCAATGTACGTAGTAGTTGGCAGCAGTAGTAGTAATTCTAATATCACTCGCAGAACAGTAGCCGCAGCAGCAGAAGCAACAGCACTTGTGCTTGCAGTTGCAGCTTCTGTTGCTGGTGTTGCAGATGCTGCTCCTCTGATTATTTATTCTTGTTGCCGCTGCTTCTGCTGCTGCGGCGGTTGCTGCCGCTGTCGTTCTTGTCGTCATGGGGGCCGCTGGCTGTGTTGCCTCCTTGCATTCGTAGCTACCCCTGCTGCGAATACCTTCGTCATCCACACTCTGACGGTACTCTGATACTGCCAGGGAAGGGATGAACATCGCATCCACATGGCCGTTCCCGATTCAAACAACATTAGACTTCCAAGGGGTAATTATGGAAGTGCTGGCCGTCGCTGTAGACGCTCTTCCGTCGTTTGTTTTCGCAGTCGTTGCGGTGGTAGGAGTCGTGCTCGTTGTCGCCCGCATCGTCTTTTCGAGTCGTGGCCGTTGTCCTGGTCGTGGTCCTCGCCGTCGTCGTCGTCGTCGCGGCAGCGGCACTGATTTAGCAGCTGCAGCAGCAGCAACAGATAGAAGTAGCGACCAATGCAGAAGTGCCTGTTGTAGGCTTCGTTGTAGCTACTGGTGGAAGACGATGAAAATGACGACAACGGCGACACTCAGGATCAATGATGACGATGATGGTGATGGCGACAACGACGGCTCGCTGTCAATGACGATCAGGACGGATAAGGATGATGTCAATAGTGATGACGTTGACATTGAAAAATGACTCCATGCTGACGATGATGATGATGATGATGATGAGGCATACGGCATACACTTGAATGCGTGCAGAGCCTGACGACGTGCGCTGATGCAGCTGTTTGCAGAAATTCTGGCATGGCCAGCTTAGACACGGGCTTCTTCGTCCAGCCTGAAACATTTCGACGAGCTTGGTGTTTGTAGCAGCAAAATCCTGGGCAGGGCAGGGTAGCACGCTCTTCCGGTATTGATTCTCTGGATGCGGTGCAACAGGCCTCGTGGGTTTGTGTTCAGCAACTATGTTGAACTCAAGCTGTATTTTCGGAAAAGCAAGACATCAAAGGATCACAAAACCAGCAGCCTGCAACGGTTGTGCCTCCGATCGCAGAGGTGCATTCTTTGCTAGGCTTGATTTGCGGGTTCCCGCCTGAAACCACTCGCCGCAGCTTGATGGGAGTTCTGGTCAGGTTCCCTTGCACGCGTCTCAATAGGTTCCCTAAGCTCAATTGCCAGATTCTGCTCAGTCACCGTCCGTTTGGCCGTGAGCATCATGAACCTCGGTTTCATTGTCGTGGGCGCTTTTTGCACGGGTCCACCAACCCCTGTACCCCAAATCAACCCCAAACTCCAAACCTTGAACGTGGCGGCGCTGTGGTCAGGATGGGATTCGTCCATGACAGCGCCCAAAGCCTTAAATCACCTGAACCCTGAAGCCCCGAACCTTACTTAAAAGTTGCGACTCCAAGGAACCACCAAAACCATCCCCAACACTTTGAAGTGCCTTGATTTAAGTCCCTAACTGCAAGGACAGCTTGACTGGTGTTCGCTTGCGGCCGCGAGGCCCCAGTTTGGCCCACTTGCCGCCGCCGTATTCCAGCTCCTCTGGGCCGATGAAGCCGGCTTTGAACCTTCGAGGGACTTCGAACACACAAATGTCAATCATGCCAATCATGTTTTAAGGATGCCTCGATACAATGGTGCCCGAGCGTACATCAAGTAACCATACTCAGATCCTGTTGCACCAGCAATTGTAGAAACTCTGGGCACCAAAAGCATGCGAACTTCAGGGACTTGAGACAACCCCGAGAACCTATGAAGACAAACGTCGACAATATGAAGCCGCTCCATGAGGGATTTCCGGATTCGGTAGTATGCCATGGATTTTTCGGCTGCTGCCTAGACTTCAGGAAGAGACCATAGACTTGCATTGGCCAGGCAGATGAGGCAACGATCGCACTGACAACATGGCCGGGATTGAAGAAGCTGTTCCCCACATGGTTCTGAAACCTAAGGAACTTGATGCGTCTCCCAGCGACGCAGGCTTAGGGATCCAGCACTCCGCGTTGCCGTCCTCAGAAGAAGCGGGGATGTAGGCTTCTTCCGTATTTATGATCGCCTTTTGATGCTGGGGGGGGGGGAGCGGGGGGGGGGGG